CTTGTAAGAYGTATTTCTAACAACAGTGATCCACACAATCCTCTCCTGCCTCTAACATATTTGTACATGCACAGCCGTAGTAAGAAAGGGGATTCCAATATATAAGGAAGGATTTTCCTTAGCGAATATGTAGGGCTTTCCTGGGAGTTTCACTGAAGGAAAAAAAAATCCCTTCAAACTTTCAGGAGTTTTTCTTAAGGGAACTTGGTCCRTAATATGCAAAGTGGTCTTAAACATGCCTCCTGAAGTCCAAGTCTGTTACTTCAGCACAGCAGTGAGCCCATTAATGTGCAGAGGATGCTCACCTGCCCTGTCAGAAAGCAGAATGCAGCTTTGGAATAGGATGGTCCATGGCATATGCATTGCAAACCACTCTGTTGGATCACTCACTCATCTGGAAAGAAAGGCATGGAGAGGGTTAGATCATAGACATTTTCCACAGCAAATTAGTTAACATGAACTGCAGGAAAAAATTATTTGTGAGGAGAACAGTCCAGGAAACAAATTAAAAAAGTGGACTCGAAGGGGTATGTATTTGAGAACTGTGTGGGAAGTTGTGTGCATAACTTCCACTGAAGTCAGAGTCCAGAGGGGCATCCTGAGAGATGGATGGGCCATGAGAAAATGTCTTAAGTGTGGTCACCTTYATTGGGGTGAATATGAAATCCATCACTGATACCTGATGACTGCTTTCATAGCCTGGCTAAAAAGGTGGGAGAAACAACCATGGGGGGAAAAAAACCCAAACAAAAAAACCCCAACAAAACAAACTAAGCAAAACAAACCAAAACAAAGCAAACTAAACCAAACCAAACCAAACTAAAACCACCACCACTGAAACCAACCAAGCAACCAATGCAGTGAGGGGGAGGAAGGCAGGTGACATGACAATGCTTTGCATTTCTGCCCCAAGCCTTCTGCACAGACCACAAACCTTCAGAAAAGTGGGCAAATCTGACTCAATTTTGAATAATAAATGGCACAAAGCAATGCAATGACTTTGCCAAGGAGTCCCAGTGMTCTCCCCATTAAAATTGGGGATGAATGCTTGTTCCTGTTGCACTGCTTTGTTCTTGAAGCTATTCTCAGAAACCGGTGGTGGTTTCAGTAGAGCACAAAATGTACCTTTTAATAACTTTGTTGCTCACATGACCTGACTCTTCACACTGATGTTTCCCATTTTATTTTGGGAGGTATCATGTTGTTGTACTTGAAAGGTAGCTTGTGCTTCCTGTAGTAGTATCTCTTTTGTAAATAAAGTCCCTCAGACTCCATGGAAACTATTATAGCACTTTTTCTCTGCAGTAAATTATGACCAAATAACAAAATGTTTCAAACTCTCAAAGACTGTAACTAAATACAGCCAGAATTCCCCTACTTTCTGAATTACTGCAAGAAAGCCAAATTCTCTGTGGTTGCTCAGCAGATCAAGGGCACTTACTCATAAGTGAACAGGCATGATCACTGCACTGTGGCTGCATTGTATCGGGATAGTGCTGTCCGCAGGTTGGGGTGGGGAATGCTTCAAAGCAGGCCAAACAGCTCCTGTGCCTGAAATCCCTTCCTTGAGAGCTCAGAACCATTCCAGAGGACGGGCAYAAACTGCCCTGGTTGTTTTTTGTGMGTCTCGAAGGGCAGATGAATGTCTGCATTTACAAAGGACCACGAAACAAACTCTGTGAGTGGAATTCTACTGTTGGTGAGCTCCTGGTGCCAAGTGCACGGAGCCTGGAAAGGTCTGTGATGGAGGTCCAGCACAGGGGAGCTGCTGGGAAGAGCTGTCATCATTTGATGTCTCTGAACCACTTTTAAGTCCCGTAGTAAACACACTGCCTGCTGTAAAACCAGAGCAGCGCTGGAGTGCCAAATCTGTGTTCCCCTCGGAGGTCTCCGGCAGGAACAACATTTCTGACTGTGCTGATTGGATCTGGGAGGCAGCGCTGCTGCTCACAGCACCTCTGAGGGAGGCCACCGTCTCCTGSTGTGACACTCTAGCCTCATTTCTTTCTGATTCTGACTTGTATTTGACCTCTCAAGCTGAAACCTTGTAAACTGCCTTTCAGARGATTTCAGCCGAAATAGTCATACCATTTTTAAATGTAAACCAAGAAAAAAAAAAMCAATTGTATTGCCCATATTAAAAATCTTTTGGAATTTCTTCTGAGAAGCCCTAGCACCTCTATGGCTCACAGAGGAAAAAATGGAAATTTGGAAGTGCATCCTCTGCATTGTGAATGCTCTTTTATCACCTTGAAGAAAATCTGGGCATGTTCTAACTCTCTGAAAAATCACAGTGATTTGATGGAATTGCCTTTATTWGCAAAAGCCTTCATTATGATTCATCTCCTCTGTGCATGAGTGGACTTTCTGTGCACATCCCACCACTCTCCAGGAGGGCAGACCCTGCCATCTGAGCAGGMTCATGCTCGGAGACAATGGAGGCACAGGATSGTTTCCCCCACTGGTCCTACTTAGTCAGGAGCTTGGGAAATGCCACGAGGATATGCAAAGCAAAGTGAGGAAGAAGCCATCCCGCTGCTGTGGTTGGTTTTCCTGCTGGGGGTGGGCAGAGAGCAGGAAGAAGCTGGTGGGGATGCTGAGGGGAGAGCATCACCAGTAGAAAAACTGCGATGAAGGGCTTGGAGAAACAGCAGATTAATAAGTGTGGGGCAGGACTGGAGAAAGGACTTGCTGAGACAGGGACTGGTGAACAAAGGTGCTGTGGGTGGGGTGAGGTCTGGGATTAACTGGACAAAGAGGAACGTACCCTGYTGCTGGGAATGGGGAGACCAAGAGAGACAGAGCTGAAAGGACAGGAATGCAAAARTGCAGCCTTCCTAGAGCTCATACAGTGAAATATGAAATACTGAAGTTCTAGCACCATTTCATTTCATTTCTCCTTTAACAGTTGATAGCATGGACCAGGAAAAGTCCTGATTGTTAAATCCTGACCCCTGCAGGGGTCTTCAGTTAAACATTGAGGGTTGAACTGTGAGAAACTGAAATCTCTGGGAGATTTTACCCCCACACAAGAAAGGCAAAGCTGCTCTAGTTTGTCTCAGAAATGGGGATCTTCTGGATTTCTTTTCCTGCAAAGCTGAGAGCTAAAAAAACTTGCATTCAGCTTTGTGGAGGCTGAAGCAGTAACTTTCAAATCAGAATCTGTGAAGCACAGGATCCACAGAGAGCTTTTGTGAGRCTTGTGTGAAGGTCTTTCAGAAAAAAACAACTTCTCTTTAAACTCTCTACAATTGCAGATTTTACTTATAGAAACTAGGAAGAAAATTACAAGTCCTTAATGGACGGTGAAAGGCTCCAGGGGAGACMAGAGACACTTCAAAATTGGTTTTCCTCTTATGAGATGGCCAGTTCTGTGGGACCAAGGTTAAGAATTTGGGTGTTTGGTTTGGTTTATGCACTTTGGGCCTCTGTCTGCCAAGGCTCATCCTTTCTGATGAAGATAAATTGCCTCTGCCCACCAGAGCTTTCAGTTTTAGTTCCAGCTGGGATGTGCTGGTAATCCTGAGATACAAAATTGTCTTTTGAACATATTGCAGTTAACTTTGGTTGTATAAATGCAAGCATTAGCTGGGTACTATAAATAGGCAGGATGTGCAAGGAGGCCAAGTTGAAAATGTGCAGAAACCATGCCTTTTTTCCGTAGTGCTATGCTTCATCATGAACAATATTTTTCATCTGAAAAGGAAACAGCATGCACGTGCTTTGTGGCTGTTGTAATTAACGGGACATAAYGAAGCGTTGAATTTCACACTTCAGAGGAGTAGATTGGGAAGGATGGGTAACTTTTTCTCAAGTTTTCCTGCTTTTATACTTTCTTGGAGGTAGTTTTCTGCAAGATTGGGTTGGGAGCAGAAATACATCTGGTTTATATTACATGATGGCTGTACTCTGGCAATGGAAAAAGATGGCACTTTAAAAAAAGGAAAGAAGAACAAAAAAGAAACATTTGGCAACTACAAAATAGAGCAACGATTACAAGAACTATCTTAAAATTCCCAGGATTTGTAATTTATTTTTCCATGCTTGCATTTTTCTGATGTTGCTGGTGTTAAAGGAGTGAGACAGAGGAAGTTCAGTTGGATTTTGCAAAGTTCAGACATCTCTGTGAAACAATCCCCTTTATTCAGGTTGCCCCACAGCAGCTGCTATGCTTTGGACATGGAAGGGATAAGAAGCACGAAAAAGGAATAGATCTATTTTTTCTCATGTTTTCCCCAGCCAATGGACTTGAAGTATTGAAGGGGATCTCTCTCATAGCTGGTCTCATATATGGACATGAGGCAGAAGCAATTAATGCAGAGGGTTTTGGAAACACCGTGTGAAGCACCTTTGTGGTGGGAGAGGGGAAAACTTACYCCAGCAGTGCAAGAGCACCTGGTGCTGTGTCCCCTGGGGCACTTTGCAGGGTTTTTTTTCTTTGTATGTTCACCCAGGAACCAGGTTTCCCCCGCCTCGCACGAACGGGGTGGCAGAACATGCAGGGCTGAGGCTGCAGTCGTGTTGTGGCCACCTGGGAGCCCAGGACACTGGCCAGGACATTGCCCAGGACTCTGTCCATCTGTCTGGGTTTGAGGGGGTGACCTGTGAGCACCTTCCAAGGGTGAAGGAAGTGATGCTCCACTGGGGCCACTTTTCACACTCTCCAGTTTGGAGAGGGCAGTGGTTCAGCCCCTGCAGGGCTGGGGCTGGGGGASGTTGGGAATCTGCTTCCTCTGCTGTGGGGGATGAGCTCTGTAACTTTTTTACCCCCAGGTTGTTCAGCAACTGAGCTGACATGAAATAGAGCACTGGAACAAAATATGTTCTGAGTGATTTTTAAGTAAAAGCTAATGTGAAAATGTGGGAATTTAGACCAATGTAAACACATTAAATTTAAAAGTTTTCAAATGTAGTAAATTTAAAAAGTAGTGTTCCTGCTCTTGAAATTCCTAAAGAATACATTTTTCCTTTGAGCCATGATTTAATTAGATTATATTTTATTAGACATTCTTTACAAATTTTAAAATACTGCTATTATACATGCACAAAGGAAAATCAATTTGAACAATTGTATGTAGGCATTCATTGAAATCAACCACAAAACAGGAACATTTTATGTCAGTTATCAATGTACTCAATATGTATATCTAAAGTGCATTATGTTACAAAAAATATAGAAAGTCAGCAGCACCAAGATACGTTCACAAAATAAATACACCAGTCAACAAAATAAATTATGGTAAATGAGACAATAATAATTGTCTTAGCCTTAGCCAAAAAAAAAAAAAAAAGGAAAATTCACAATAACCAAATGTGCAGTTTCAGAGAGCAATGGGGGGCGGGGAAGGTTTTATTCTGAGCATTTACAATATTTACAGGTAATAAATATTTTAATACTTCCCATATGTTCACTATTACAGAATACTGCAATACGTCTTCCAAAAATCTCTCACTGAAAATGTCAGCGCCTCCTGCAAAGAGAAAAAAAAGGACAGGAAAAGTAGAAAAATTAATAATTTTCACTTCAAGTGTGTGGAYRTAAAGTCAATAGCAAGAGTGTCACAGACTGTAATATGTATGCCTTGATGGTAACCATTTGCAGTATAGGCCCTGTTTAACCATGTCACAGTTTTAGATATCTCCTCAAGACCTCTGCTATGTTTTCTTCAATTTGACTCCTCTAGCAGTGTGATAACCTGCAGTTTGTCACACTCTGAGGCCGTTGCACCCTCAGAGGAATGGAAAGGGGCTTTAGTTTTATTTAGAGCCTGATGCGAGAAGATTCCTAAATGCTACAGGCAGAARAATTGTACCACCACATGATAAATATGTCAAGTGCTGGAAAAGAAAAGAATATAGTTGGAGAAAAGAAAATTAGTTTTGAAGATATGAAAAAGGAAGTCCTTTCTAGYGCTGTGGCAATGCTCTGTTAATTGCTGGGGTGTGGTGCCATACCTTGATTAAAAAATCATAGGGCTTATTTGATCTCTTTTTCCCCCTGAGAAATCACTTCTTGGACAAAGGACTGTGGGATTTGTGAGTAAAGATTGCTCTGGGCTTGGAGTGAACAGAGCCTTGATAGTGTCTCTTCAAGTGCTTGACAGAGTGAACCTGAAACTTTCCTTCTGGGACCCAGAGATCTTGGTCCTGAAAGAAAACAACCATTCTGTCCTGCTTATCCTGTCCTGTTATCCTCCATCTCCTCTTGCATTCAGCCCAGCCAAAGCCATCAGCGCAGCCCTGAGCTCTGTGATCTCGGGCTCYTGCAGGATGCTGCAGCCTGGTGTGGGTTCTGTCCCCATGAGAACAAAGCAGAGCCTGCTCCCACCCTGCCCCTGCATTGCTCATCCTGCAACATGAAGCTGCTCAGAGGTGCTGCAGGAAATGCTGAAGGGTTGGGTGTTTTTCYCTTCTGTCCCTGTGAGCAGCACATTTTTTCAGTCATTCCCTGTGAATCACCTACTGGGTGGGATGGGGAGCTTTAGGATGGAGTGGGATTCTCTCCCCTGCTGGATTGATCGCCAGAGCTGGGGGTAACATTCACCATGGCAAATGTGTGTGGGCATGAGGCACAACAAAACTCAAATCCTGGGGAGTTTAAGAGGATTTTTCTAAACATGCAAGCTGAAAGGGAGGCTGTGTTTAAMATTAGGGAATTTTCTCATTTGAAAGGGTTTTTAGGAAAATAAGTAAGAGTAACTTAATTCAAGTAAAGTGGGAAAATAGCTGGAATGGCCATGGGAAATAACTTTTAAAGTGCCTGGAATGGAAATGCTAGCATGAAGCTCCTTAATAATACTAGGGTGCATTTCAGGATRTATTCCAACAGGTATAACAATGGCATATAATTCATATAGCATGGCTCTGTGTGTGTGTGTGTATGTCTGCACTACTCAGGCCTGTTTCTAAGAGCATGGCATTTTTGATTTGGCCCAGATTTTAGGCTTTGTTTTAAAGATTAAGTTAAGTGAGATCTGGACAGCGGGCTCTGTACTACTGATAATTTGCAAACTGCATTCTGTGACTTGATCTCAGGTTTTGCAAGATCAACTTCTTTCCTGAGGTACTTCTTGCCGTAATTCAGAAGATCTAGAGATGACTTTTTCTTGTCCATTTTGTTCTGACCTAAACTCAAAATTTTGTTTTCAAGATTGATCAGAGAGAATTGACCGGAAGGTTTTAATCTGGGATGTCAAGCAGAAAAGAAGGACAGAGATACAGGGAAAATCAYGCTTAAAGTTTGTATCTTTTGCCAGCCTACTGGGTTAACTAAAAGCTCATGTCTAGAAGCTTTATAGGGCTAAGTCAACATCCTCTGTACTTGTGAAGGAGGAATTCCATTTTCCTTTTTTAAGGGATGCTCTTTGCTTAACCATATCCAAGTAAGTATCTAAAATATGGGTTCTTTTTAGGAATCTGAGAGAAATGCTGCACTTGGACATAGGACTGCACAGTAGATCTGAGAGCCTTCAGCCATCCAGCCACCCTTCAAACACAAAGGCTGAACTGGGAAAGTCAGCAGGGTTGTACCTATAGCTCTTTTATATATCCCATTAGATGGACACCAAAGACAGCATGGCAAGAAAAAGAAACAATAGTTGAAAYGCCCTAGGATATTTTTCCCCTACATTCTAGATTTCTTTGTGCTCAAGATAGGTGTTATTTACCGGCCACCACAGCTCCTTGGCAGCTGTTGAAACATTAGGCACTGATGCTGAGCAGAATCCTGAAGATGCCTTTCCTAARGTGCTGAGACAAACCAGTCCATCCCTCTTACTTGCCTCCTACCTACGGCAGCCATGCCAAACAGTTTAGGGTCTGAGATACTCTGGTTTATGGTCTGGTACACAATGGTTTATGGTCGGAGTGCCCAGCCCCAGGTGCTGGTCCCTCCTGGAGATGCCAGCACGAGTTGAGGTGATGGAGCACATTGCAAACTGTGGCCTGAAAGCCTAATCCCAGACAGGATTTTAGTAAATCCCACTGCTGGTGTCTCTTTCCAAGGGATTTACTGTGAGCAAATGGCACTTTTCTCATGTCACTGTTCTGCCAAGGTGAAGGAGAGGAGGAGAGAAAAGGGTGGAGGTTTTGCTGGTGGAAATGCAAACATTTGAGCAGAACTGAGGAGTGGAGTCCTTGGCTTTGTCTGCAAGTGCGTAGACTTCCACTCAAGCTGAGATGGCTGCAAGTGGAATTTGCAGGAACACCTAAGACGGTGTCTTCAGGCTACTGCCCTAAAAACCCCTCACTGCCACACATAAGGGAAGCATGTGCCTTTCCCAGAGCAATGCTAAACATTTTGAAGCAGCAATGTAATTGTTTCAGGAACTGGCAAAAGGACGAGCTGAATGAAAAAGTCCTAATGGCAGGGAAAATCATATGGTGAAAGGCTGCTCTGCAKTATTTGCAGGTATTACTGAGGGAGACATATTCCATGTTCTCCCCTAAGGTTAAACAGTAATTTGAAAAACTGTAAAGTAAGGGTAGGAAAGTTGCCAAAAAGAGGAGGAATTGAGAGGGAGGAAAGAAAAGTTCTCCATTTTATAGATGCAAAGCCTTAAATAAAAGTCAAAGCTTTTAGTCTGCTGAGGCCCAAGTGTGGGACCAAGATATGATGTGAGATACACCACAGTAAAAGCAGGAAAGGAAATTTTAGTGGCTGTGATGTGATTCCTTTTTTCCAGAAATAACCACAACTACTACTCAGCTTCAGGAAGCTCATTTTGGCAATAAGTTGTTTACTTGCATTGTGTGTCATAGAGAAAGAAAGGCTCTGTCCCCAGTGCAAAGTGGAAGGGGCACTTACCTGCAGAAAGCACCTTGAGAGTGTGCTTGTAGTGCCACTGCCCAGTCAATGTGTATAAAGCTCTGCTGTTACTCCACATTTGAGCCAGGCCATGGCCTCTCACACCAAAGGATAACAATTTCAATAAATACAGAGTATGATCCCCAAAGCGATGTAGCAGAATTACCTTAAAGTGTGATTWTGTGTAGTAACAGAGATGTCCAAGAGTGGGCTCTCGGTCACGATGTCTCCAAACACATCAGAATTTAGCCAAGCTGARCGGGTTCGCCTCTTTTTCTTCTCTTGTTCCTTACGTTTCCCAGGCTTCGCTTTCTTTTTCTTCCCAGACACCTTCAGGGGCTGCTCCTTGTAGGTCTGTGATTTGTTTGTCTCCTGAGTCAGGTATCTGCCCTCATCTTCACTGCCAAACCGGACAGGGTAGTTCTTCGTGTTGGTAGCAGGTTTAGGGTTAGGCGACACCTCTGACGTTGCACGGATCTCTGCAGTGTTGACACCTTCGATTAAAGTTTGAAGGAATATTCTTCTTCGTAAATCTTGGATTGACTTGCCCTTGTCATGCAACAGCTGGTGCTCTGATACAGCTCGTTTGCTAAAGACAGACAGGAGAGGAGAGGGAAAAAAATCTTTAGGATTTGCTTATTGCCCAGTGCTTGGCAGATCTGCTCTGTTCTCTGGCTGGGGTGGCCACAGTGGCTGTGGACCCAGCCTGGAGACATCCAGTGAGATCAGACTACTGGAGCAAGCCCTGCTTCTTTCTCAGAGTAGCTGCTCCCAGCAGAGAAGGGAAAGACCTAAGTGAGCAATAATTCTCAGCTGACCGATCACACACCGCTGGAGCTGGAGCTGCATTAGTCACTGCTCTGTTCTAGGAAAGCATTATGGCTCCTAATATATCACACTTCAGGCAATGAAAGCAGGAAGGCAGTTGACAGAGACAGGAAAACTAAAGGGTCAGATAATGCAGTCAAGCAAGACAGGGAAAACCAAATGCTTGTATTGGAGCTGGAAGAAGTGTTTATGCAGCATCATCCTAATGATTTTCTTCTGCTCAGTCATGGGTTTCAAAAACTTAAAGAAATACACAAAAGTGCATTTTATTCCTACATTTAAATAAGTGCAATTGCATGAGCATAAGGGAAAAATATTTAAATCTTGGTGCCTAAAACACAGGCACTTCATAATGAGCTATCCAGGGAGGCAGCCTGAGCATCAGCAGAGATGAGCCTCAGCTACTCCTGTGGATTTGATTCTTGGCCACTTGTGTCTAATTATGGTTTTAGATGCCTTCCTGGTATTGTTTTAAGTGTGAAATTTTGGAGCCAAATTTCTTGTCTGCTGCACTGTGTGAGTTTTATCTTAACCCTCTTCACTGAATCTTCTTCAAGAGCATCCTGGTTTATTGGAGTGGCTTTTCCAGAGTTCACCCTGACCTTTTGGTACACTGAGCTCTGTCTTGTTTTCGAGGAACTGGGAGATGAGTAGCTATCTGTCTTAAAGAGATGTTGTGCTGGCAAGGAATGTATTAAACATCTGAGGAAAGAAGATACAAATGACACCTGGATAATAAATAACTGTGAGAAAATACATGCCTTTTCCTTGAAATGGAGTACATGCACAGCTGCACTCTGAACCACAAACAGAGCACAAAGCTGGGATTTTAGCTATGTTCCCATGAATGCAATAATACAGTTTATCCTTCCAATTGCTCTACTCCASTGTGCAGAGTTTGGCTATGGAATCTCTCCTCTTTCATCAGGGCATGGCATGTGACTGGATTCTTACTGGCCAAAGAAATTCCATTCACTGCATTGCCTGTTCTATAATCATTTGGTCAATTTTCTGAGTAAGAAGTGGTTTCTGCATGTGGGTGAACTGGAAGAAGACACATTATTGTGAGTGAATATTCCTTTCTTCCTTCCTTTCCATCCCTCATTTTCCTGCTACCTTACCAGGTTTTATAATGCAAAATATTTGGGAGTGTTCTGCAGTTTCTCCTTCTCAGTCCCATCAGCCAAACATTTTTAGATTTATGACTTGATCAACTGCAGAGCTATTGGAAATTGGCAGCTTCAAGTAGCATTGATTTAAGAGCACCCCCTTTATTTTTCRTCTCTGTAGGGCTGCATTTTTTGAGTATTGGGTTCAAGGGATGGATTTAAGTGATACTACATCTCTRTTACTCAGTGTAAAATTCAAACAGTTTTCCTCCATTCCACAATGAGACTGGAAGATGACTGTCCAAATCTTGCTCAAAATCAGGTCTACATATCCAGAGGTTTGTGAGCACATATGTAATCAAATATTGCMTGTGTTTTAAGTGTCCCAAAATCAGTTTTGCATTACTTCAGTCTTCAGGGCAAATATTTGATGCCCCTCTAAAAAATGTCCCTAAGCAAAAATGCAATGTGATAATCCTAAACTGATCCCATATCATGTCTTTCTCCTCAGTGCAGCTGTGACCAATAACACAAGCTCATGATCTCCCCCAGAAGAATTTTTTTGACCAAGGGGCCATCTCCARCACTCATCTGATTGGCAACTAGGCCAATAAAACCAGCACCCTGCCCCCTCTGGGTGACTGCCTCTGTGATGCCCATCAGGCTGTCCAGTGTGACTCAGGTTACATTCCAAGCTTCAGTAGTCTATTTTCTCAGGAAATTTGCATGGGAAATGCAGTTCTGCTTTCACTCTTATAGCTTATAGAAAGTGTGTGAGGGAGTCTAAAACAGTGCCTCATGAGATGAGCAAAGCTTTCCTACTGCCTCTTGTGAACTCCCAAGGATAATTCCTTCTATCACAGACAACCTAAAGCTGCCTTAATCCTCTAATGTGTATTTGGTCAGTTTCCCCACTGTGACAAAATCTTGACTCTACAAAGCCTGTTATTAAAGTCCTCTTGATTGAAAACTTATTCCATTTTATAGAACTGAAACCTAAACATTTGGTTCCAGTACACACAAGGCAGTCAGAGAGTATTACAAGATCTACATCTTGAGTGAGTATKCATTTCCAAAATAATGCAGGGATTGACGTGTGAGAGGTTGGTGTGCCAAAGAGGGTGGGTTTCTCTTTAAATGTCTCTATGATATTTAGCATCAAGTCTGGCCCCAAATAACATTCTGCTATTCCAGATGATTGTATAACATTACGCAGTGTTACATTTCACATGACTTTTATTACTCAGCCAGACTTAAGGATTACATTTTGCCTACCGGCTTCCTTTGTATGCTCTAGATAAAAGATCTTGAGACAAAGATGTGGTAGATACCTATCTGTTTGACCTTCTGCCKTCTTCTGCTTCAGTTATTCAAACAAGTTTTCTGTTTATAAATCATAGAGAAAGACTTGCCCAAGAAGGCTGATGTAAGAAGTGCTTCATAATGGAGATATCAACAATATCTCACCCACACACTGAGAGTAGGAAGGCAATGGAAACAGGAATGATTGCATTCACAWATTGGCTATGATATGTAAAAAAATATGAGGCTGTTAGGGTTAAGATGACCCACTAGAGGTCCCTTCCATCCTTCTATAAAATGCACCTCCTATCSAAGGAAAAGGAGTACCCAAACCAAGAGTGGTAAATGCTAAGCTTGCATGTGGCAGGCACTTTTGAGAGTGGTTTGTATTTGACCAGAGCATCCAAATTAATTCATTGACCCAAGTACTCTGTGTACAAGTGAGACTCAGTGTCTCATCATGGAGAGAGCAGCAGAAGTCCATGACTTGTGACTATCCTGACTTCAYATATTTCCAGATAAGCCGCTCTTTTCAGGCACATTCCTCCTTCATTATTTTTCCCTGGAGATATCCAGCCTTTCTAAAAGGCAAACTTCTTTAAGCTACCACTTTCTGTCTATGAGTGTTGCTCTTATTTAGCTGTCGTTACCCTTGACTGTTCATGTTGGGTCTGATCATGAGTTCAGCAAAATAACTGAGGAGGATTCAGTCAGCTCTTTGGATTTTGCAAGACTGAGTGCCTGAGTGCCCTTGCCACTGACTCCAAAGGGAGTGAAATCTGCTCAACCTATCTCAGGGTTAGGAAAAATATTTTGAACAGATCTGGAGACATGATGCTGCAATGTCTGGACATGATGATAAAAGTATCTAATTTCATTTTGAGGCACTACTGCATTTCTCAGAAGTTCTTTAGCAGCTAAAACACTCCTATAATAAATAACATGTCTGGAAATCTTTTCTTGGGACAATATGTTATTGCTTTCCAGGGGAGATTTGCTTCAGTAAAGTCTGAAGAACCAGGCCTATGTAGTTTTGATTATTTTTGCATGTCTATAGTAATGTGCTTCAGCATTTTCATCCAATACTGGTTTAAGCTTCTGACTGGAAAAAAAAAATCTCGAAGCCTAAGTGAGTTATTAACCATTAACTCTAGGAATGGTTTGTGGTGATATTAAAACAGGACACATGTTTGAGTGTGGTGTCTGTGTTTATGCTGCRCCCACAAACAAAACTACGTGAATGCCACTAACTGACAGCTGACTGGTTTCTTGTGTGTGTTTTACATGCCATAGCAAAGAGGGAGTTGAGAAATGCTTTTTCACTGGTTAGCTTAAACTTTTCTTCCCCTTTTCTGGACAGAATGGGGATGYTGGGAAGACCTTTAATCCTGACCTTTATAAACAAGTGCTAGAACTACACTAACTTCAAAAAGAGAAAGAGTATTTCTTTGAAAAAACAATTTTTCTATAACAACCAAATTTGGCTTAGATCCAGTTTGCAGTTTCCTAGCCAAGAAAATAACAGCATTTAACTGCACTTCCATTTTTTTTAATTATTATTTTTGAAACTGAAGTTTTATTTATCTATATAAAATGGTCCCAAATGAAAGAAATAGCTCAAGAATAGCTGGAAAACAGTTAAATGACTGAGAAGAATACACTGTAACATTATCAGCAATAACATGTTCTACACAATTTGCTGTAGGAGATTTGTAATAGCTCTCTGCCTGCTGCCAAACTTTAGGTGTGTCTGAAGTCACTTCACCTGGGGTATATTTTTTTCTCACTTGGGTGTTTGGGATWTTTTTATTATTATTATTGTTCAAAGTGTTGCTTAAATGGCAGAGGAAGTGTTATTTGGAGATCTTGTCCTCATGTATGCAATAAAACATTTACAAGGAAACCCATCTGAAATTGTTTGCTGTGTCATGTTTCCCTGTAAGTTGTAATAGCACTTTCCAGTGCTCCTTCTCCAACTTGGCTTCCTTTGGAACTGAATAACAATACAGCCCTCCCCAGTTTGACTGAGGTGTTTCTTCCTTAGAAAATCTGATGCAAGTCCAGAGAAAGCCAGCGAGTTAGATGTGTGAGACAGCTGCTCCTGCATCAGCCCAGAGGGCTCTCCGCACTTTGCGTTACGGGTACTGGTATAAACCAGGCTGATTATTTTGGAAGCAGCAAAAAGGTCATTTCCTGAACAGACTGTCTTAAGTTACTCTATCATTTATCAAAAAATATGCCGCTGCCTCTAAGTAAGATACTGGACTCCCTCTGGATTTTTTTTTTCCCCTGAAGTGGTAGAAATCCAAAGAAATTATTCAGTACTTCAGTGTCAGGATGGCCCTCACTTCTGTGTGTTTACCCTACCTTTATCAATATTGGCTCCACGCCAGAGCCGAGGAAGCCCTATGTTGTTTGGTGTAACAGAGCATTTGGATAAACCGGGATGCTCCCTACGAGGGTCCTCCCGGGGTGCTGAAAGACACCTGGGCAATGGCACAACAATCACCCAGCTGCGTTGGAAGAGAAGCCCCTCAGCTTTCACATCTTCCCCCGCGATTCTTTGCAAGGTCAGCGAGCTGCAAAGCGCCCTTTCCATGCCCCAAATCCCTGTCGCCGGCTCTCAGGCACCGCCGGTGAGCACCTGGGGCAGGTAACCCGGAGCGGTCCGGTGCAGAGCCTCCTTCCCCACCCGCCCCGCCGCCCCGGCCAGGGAGAATAAAGGGAAAGAAAAAAAAAAAGAGAAAGGAGAAACTCACAGTCTGCGGCTGATCCCCTCTACTGATCTCCCGTAGGAAGGCACGGAATAACTCAGYAGGAACACTGCGAAACTCCACTGCTGGAAGAGTTTAGCGAACATTGTATCCTCCGGGGCTTAAAACCTGCAAGGAAAGGGAGGTCAGTCCCGAGGGACAGATGCGCCAGCGCCGTCCTCAAGTAGTCCCCGCTTCGACTCTAGCAGTTCCTAGGCTCTGAAGGAAAAACAAACTTTCTGAGCTCTCGGCTCACTCCTTCCAAACTTCGCTCTGTCTCTCTCCCTTCCTTGTTGTCTGCTTCTCCCTCCCTCCCTCTTTTCCTCCCTCCCTCCCTCCCTCCCTCTGTCTCTCGCTGCCCGCAGGCAAGATCTCTCTCGACATTAGTTAAAAAAGCATCTAGCTCTCATTTGAATAGGGTTAGAGCGGGGTTCATTGGGCTCCCTAAGCCCTGTTCAGTTCCAGAGCTCAAATCCACTCTCTCAGGGCTTTATGTTAGTGGAGAAACTCTCTTTGCAGATAAGGAAAGATTCCCAAAAGTCAGCTCAGCTGCTCACTTCTCTGTAAAAACACGCGCGGGCACACAAACACACGCACAGACTGAGGCGGGACGGGGGACCCATCTCCCCATCTGTCTTTCAGTATACCTCTGCAAAAAAAAAGGGTTAAGGTTTCACGTCTTCAGCTTCCGAAAAGTTTTGGTCCCCGACTGTGACAAGGAAAGCGACACGCAGGGACAAGGAGAGACAAGCGAAGGTCGCTGCCTATCTGGAGAGCCCGAGCTGTCTGGAAGGAGCGGTAGCCCCGGGAGGCTCAGGGGCTGGGAAGCATTGCTTGGCTCGGCAGGTTGGACTGGGCTGCAGCCTGCGATGTTCACACGCTCCGCAGCAGCCTCTGGGAGACCTGCGGGAGGACGGAGGGTTTTGCAAAGAGATGGCGCCCTAGGAACATGTGCGGAAAGAGCGAGAGCCCGGACGGGATACCCACAGCCAAAACGGAGACCGGGAATCAACCCTTCCCGGGCCCAGAATCAAAAAGGAGCGAAGAAAGGGAAACACCCAGCAGCACATGCACTCAGCGGACYCTGAGGACTCCGGCCAAGCTCGTCTCATCTTCTGCAGCCGGGCTCCTCTCTCACTCACCTTCCAGCTCTCCCTCTTTGTGCTTAGYCCCAGATCAGCGCCTCCCCTGCCGCGGGGATTCCTCCCATCGGTGGGGGCACTTTTTAGCTCAAGCCCCAAAGCCCTGCCCGAGACTGTTGCCGCCTTTCCTTGCACGCACCTACCGTTGTTCGTCGCCGTTCCCCTATTAGCTGGAGGGTCGGCTCCTAATGATGCTAATTGTACGCTAGTGAAGGGAGGGGGGAGCTAAGGGGGAGGGCTGGGGGAAGGACTCGCGGTCTCTGAACACAAGGCGCTCCTGGCCAAAAAAGTAAACTAGTGGAAAGTTTTCTCCTCCTCTCCCTTTTTCGCCTTCCACTTCGCCCTCCTTCAGCCCGGCCAGGGTGCTGCAAATCTGTGCGGCAGGTTGCGCTCCTGTGCGAGGCAGCGCCGCGGGGCTGCGCACACAGCGGTGACCAGAGCGGCGGCAGGCGGCCCTACTCAACCCCCCAAACCACGGGGCACCGACGGCCCGCAGCCCCGCACCCCACCACGGAGGCACCAAACTTTTCCATCCCGGGAGAACGCTTATGTAAATACCGAAGGTAACCCAGCCCGCCCGTCTCTCCAGCCTGTTCGCGCAAGGAGCTGCCCCCGGATGCTTCAGGCAGGTCCAGGGACAGAGCCGGGGGGGCCGTGCGCCCCTTGCTCYCACCCCCGGCAGCTCTCCCGGAGGGAAATGCCCTGCACGCCGATCTCCTGTTGGACGGCGCAGGCCGGGCTGTCTGCACGCCGTGCCAGCGCCCACCTGGGCACGCCGGCTCGTTCCGGCAGCATCCCGGGAGCCCTCACCCTTCCGCGGGGCTCCGCCGAGCCCCCCAGCCCCGGCCACGGGCACCGCCGCTGCCCCCGGAGCGCTGGGGTCGCTGGTTGTGCCGCTGACAGCCTGATTTACAGGGAATGCTCTCCCGACACCCTCACAAGCCGCAACAAAACACTGAGGCGTGCTGGCTGGTTGTTCCCTCTCATCCTCCGCCCGAGTTAAAGAAGGCTCTCTGCAGAAGGTTTAGGCGCAAAGCAAAGCAAAGTGTTTTTCTACCTGCAGGTTATTTTAYGTTTAACGACGCTTGCTGCCACAGTTTAAAAGCCCAGCTCCTTAGCCAGATTCCACACCACACAGGCAAATAAAACCGACAACATAAGAGCTGAAATAAAAATCATGCTGAAAACATTAAATCTTTTATGCTGTAAATAAGTTCCCTGAACACCTGGTAGGCTGTAAATTAAAATGTATAGCTTATAGGCTTCTTTGATTTACACTGCCCTATTGACTAATTAAAAATAATTGTGAGATCCCCTGAAATAACCCCCACGCACTCATAGGTGTATTGCTCATGTTAAAAGTAAAACGTTCATCAAATATTTTCAGAATTTCCTTTCCCCCAGAATTTTTTTTTTTAAATACACCGAAAACCAACACACCACCCTTTACAGACTCAGGAAAAATAAATAGACTTTATAAACTCAGAATACTGAAGTTTCTTTACAATTCATTACTTCACCTTTTCCTTGAGTTACAGCTGTCTGTGCCTCGCAGATCACCCTGGCCAACAGTGGTTGCTCTTCTCAGCAATTGCTTCTGAAATTATATTCTATGCTTAAGAAAAAGAAAAAAAAAAGTAGTTAAATGAATTCTTTAAAAAAGCAAAAATCTTTTCAAAAATCCAGWCTACAGAGCTTTGATTCTGCCGGTAACAGGTTAAGACTAAATAAAGGGTGTTAAAAGCAGGTGCTTCTCTCTTGCTGCTCTTTTTATTATGAAGAACAGAAGCTTCCCCTAATATATATCGTGAGGGAGACCCTTCTCCATTGCTTTTATTGAAAAGACCAAACTTGTGACATCACTAACCACCTTCCTATGGCTGAGTTTGCCTCTTCTCTGCCTCAGTGGGCTTGGGAAAAAAAAATAATACAACCCAACTATGGCTGCGCTATTACGGCAGGAACTGAGCAACGCCAAAGGCGTTTAAGACACTCACTATCACCCCATGCTCCCATGCCTCCCCCTGCCCCCCCTGCCCCCCCGCCCCCCCCGAGGGCGGTCATCTGCAACCACCGGCGCCGCGCTTTGTCACCTGCCACGTACACCAATTAGCAAACTCACGTACCCGTGAGCAAACTCTTGGTCCCAAGCCTCACCGTAAGCCTGAGCCCTCCTCCGTGGCAGAATGGGGAGAAAAGTCTCCTCACTTGGGGTTTAAACCTTCCCTTCCCCGCGGGATGCCGCAGGAGATGCGCTCCCGGGAGGGACCCGCCGCCACCTGCAGCATCTCATCCCCCCGGCCCGGCTGCTCCGCACTGGCAGCTCCCGGTGTCCCCTGGCCTCGGAGGGGTGAGGAGGGATGAGGCTGGACTAGAGGATGGACCGGCAGAGCGCAGCTTTAGGCGCGTTTCCAAWCCCCACACCTGCGCTGAACATCGCTCCACTCACGGAGCGCCCACGGGCACGGCCGGTCCCACGTCTGGGAGAGGGGAAAACTCTACACTTTTGTTGGGGTTTCACCTGCCGGGGCTTCGCTTACGGCAGGGCTCCCCGCCTTSTGGCCGCTCGTTGTTTCTCCAGCCAGGAAGCACGGAGAGAACGGGTCGTTTTGTCGGACCTGGAAAAGGCTTCAGCGCCGGTGAGATGAGACAAAACCCTGTGCTTGCCTTTCTGGCCAAGCCCTCTCTGCCGCGACAAGGCAAACCTTATCATTTTAGGTTTTCTGCCTCCACTCTCTCCAGTCTTCCCGCCTCAAAGACAATGAGGGTTTGGAGGGATGCCGCGCTTGGCTTCTGCCTCCTTTTTCCATACGTATAAACAGGCATAAATCAGCTTTCCTACGAGGAAGTTGACCTGGGATCTTGGCTACAAAGTTAAGTCCCTGTTCCAGGTTTGGCACTAATTCTCGAGCGGGGAATAGGGCCAGGGGCTGCGGGAGGGTGTGTGACCGCTGGGCTGCCCCCAGAAGCCGATCAGGAGTGAAACAAAAGCCAGCAAGTGGGACARGTTCAGCTTTCTGGGGAGGAGGTGCTCTTGCAGCCTCGGGGAGGCAGAGGGAAATAATGACTAAACCCCCGCCCGGTGCTCGGAGACGGGCTAAATCCTCAGTCTGCAAACTTCCCATCCTTCACCTCTCTGAAGTTCCGCCTCTCCCTCCTCCCTCTTGTTTTATTCACAATAAAGCATTTTCGTCATTTCCCCTCCCGGATTTCTATAACCTCAGTTGCACTCGTCCAGGGCTTCGGTTCAGACAGGGAGTTTAACCTCCCCAGTCTTCCCAGGGTGGAAAAAATGGTGTTCAGCAGAAAAAACACAGGCGTGCTRACTGCTGGAGTGTCTGGCGGAGAAGGGAAGGGAGCGGCACAGCACTGATTGCTGGACTCGTCCTGCGAGGACCAGAAATCCCCTGACTTGCACAATCTCTCTGCTCATGCAAGGTTTAAAACCAGCGAGCGCAGCTCTCTGCAGGCGAGGTGCGAAGCCCCAGAATATTTTTCCAAGGCTCCCAGGGAGGACAAGGCTGCTGTGCAACTGGTAGCAGGGACACGACTGCTTGAAGATTGAGACAGACTTTCTAGCACACTCTCATTSTTGCCCGCAGCCTAGCCCTGCTGCACTCTGCAGCGTCCAATTCTTATGAAGGGTGCTTTCCTCTTCTCTGACTCCCCGGTGGCCGTCGGGAATGAGAAACTCCTTCTTCCCCGTCTGACGTGGTGTCCTCTTTGCACTGAGTGAAAAGATTGCTGGGGGGGAAAGATAAACCCGCTTTTCCTTTCCCCGTCACCAAGYCCCAGACGTTCCGCGGCGCTCCATMTGAGCGCACTAATCTGCTTTATTAAACAATGATAGAGTASCTGAGCAGAGCCGCCTTTCGCACCCGAGGGGCGGCCAGAGTTTCCCCAGCTCAGCTATTGACACGACGCGCCGTTTATTTAGACAATATGCATTTAATTTAATACACTCGAGAAAGGGCAGGGAGACGGTGGAGCAAAAATATAAAAAGCTGCGTGGAATTGAGGAGAGTTTTGCCAAATCTTCTGTCTGGTTCCTAGAATCCAGCAGACACCGAAAGGRGTAATTTGCAGATTTGAGGGCGCGGAGTCGGCGGTGAATCCCCGCGGCCGGCGGAGCGTGGCCGGGCTCCAGCCCCAGGGCGCTGTCCATGGTGGTGCGGCCCCGAACGAGATGGAGATGGAGCGCCGCCGCTCCACCGCCGCCGCCGGACACCTGAGCGGCCACCGGCACCGGCTCCGGCTCCTTGTCCCTGCCTTCTCCATCGGGGCCGCTCTAACGCCGAGCCGCCGCCCGACTGCAGCCTGCAGGGGAGAAACTCGAGCGGAGCAGGCGGCGGGTTGAGCCCCCGCTGAAGGGACGTTGGCAAACAGAGCGCTCCGAGCACTCATGGAGCGGGAGATGCTGGCAGCCACCACGCTTTCGATGGCACACGTATTTTCGTTTAGTGCTCTGAAACCTTGAGCTGTTACATTGACTCGCTGTCTAGGTCTGGTCTTGACTTAATCTTTAAATATGTCTTAACATAGATGGAACTTTCCTTTTTTTCCTTTTACTGAATATCTATCAAATACCAACAGGAAGAAACCAGTCTGGTCTATTTAACTTACACAAAACTAATACCAAGCTGGGCTGGCTGGAGAACAAGAATTCGATTTCAAGCACAGGTTTTTTTTGCTTTTTTTTTTTTTTTTTTTTTTTTTTATGTTGGAACAAAATTCATCCCTTTAGACACTTTTCTGAGATGAGACAGACTCACCTCCTCCCTTGGAATAGCTTAGTGGTTAATGCACTCATCTGGGATGTGGGACACCAGAGTTCAAGTCCTTCCCCTCTCTGATTCAGAGTCCTAATCCCTGGACTCTCAGTTTCTCGCAGTTCCCTCCCATCCCAGACCTAAAAACCTTTCCGATTACATTTGTGATGGATTGATATTTTCCAGTGGATGAAAACCAAATGTTTAGTAAAGGAAAAAAAATCGATCTAACAGTTATTCTGAGCATTTATTCTGGGATTTTTTGGTTAAACAAGGAGAAGTCCAGGCAGACATCATCCAACAATGGAAGGGAATTGAAAGCTGTGAAAAGAAGGGCCGAGCTAGGAATAAGGAGTGAGTCTCCATCTGTGATGGCMCACAGGGCTGGTGTGGTTAAGACATACATTCTTTATCTTTAGCTTTGCAGATTTATTTGGTAAGAAAGGAGGACTCTGTCCTACCCCACAGCCACACAGGGCCAGTACAGTTGGGATATGCTTTCCTTGGGTACAGTYTTGCTTGATCTTTTCTATTCCTTTAGCTTATGGAACACAAGAGGAAGGATCATCCAGTCTCATTTGGCTTCCCCGCTAAGAAGACAAAGTGCCTTTTCACCTAGGCTGATGGAAAGATCTGTTTTGTGTGAAGCCTGAAGGCATGCCTGTGATTCTGGACAGCAAGATACTTGTAACAAGTTCTACATGGAGCATAGCCTTTACCAGCTAACATTTCTGAAGAACACATCTTTGTTTTATGCATTTTGGTTTTGTTAATCTAATTATTTTCAGTAATCTCCAGTCTGCCTTCGAGGAACATTGCTGCTTCTTGATGCTTGTTCTAAAAAGTAGAGATGACTGGAACTATTACATGCACTCTCAGCTTTGACTCAGATGTGCTTTGTTCTTTCCTTTGCTCCTATGCAAGTAAAATGATCCTTTATTCTCTTATTTCATACCACATTAATTATCCATTTTCATGTCTCTAACTCCCACTGAACAAACTGCATCTTTAAGCTCTTCCCAGAAGTCATGGGATCCKGTCCAGCTCTCCCTGAAGCCAGACTGCTTCTCTTCACTCACTTCATTTGGATGGTGGTCAGCATCTTAYATGGCCACCCTTTCTCTAAATATGGAATGTTCTTTAATGTCGAGTGCGGTTTCTTCTCCAGACATGATGTCCCATAGGTTGTGAACCCTAAGCTGCAATAAGCAAAGTGGAATGACCACCTGACTTGCTGTTAATCAGGCCATGCATAGTGAAATGTAGTCTGGAGAGCTGCCTGTGACACAATGCATAATAAGCTTGGACWGCAGGAGATGTGAGCAAGCATATTTTTTAGGAGTTTCAATTACCCCTTGCAAGTTAGGGTTCTAAATTTAYTGAATTATCAAATTTGAAATTCCATTAACCTGAAGAAATAAATAAGGATAAACTATAAATGTTCTTTGCTATTATTTGTTTATCCCAAGATGAGGAAGATGTTTCTCTTATAACAACTTGCCTTACACTGAGATGAAGCTAATTGCTCCTTCACCTCCAGATTTCATCTCTCTTAAAACCAGAAAWATTACTCTGTGTGTTTGGTCTGACCTAGCAATGGTGCTCTCTAAAAGCTGATTTCTGTGTATAAGGAATTTAGACTATTTCTGCCAAGGCTCTGTACTTGAAGCAATTTCTGTGGCTGTAGGAGATGGAAGTGTAAAGGTGCCCAAAAAAGTTCTGGCTCTGGGAAGGACTGGACTTTTACAGTCAGACTTTCTGGGTTCTGCTGYTCCTATTGATTTTCCAAGCCCTTGAGATACCTTGAACCTAACACAGTTTCTGGAGCTGGCAGGTGAKGGAGTGACACCTGGGAGTTTTTGGATGACTCAGGGCTGGCCCCACACAACGCGTGGAAACAAAGCAAGCTCTAATTAATGCAGCCTGAGGACAGCTCCAGCAGGGAGCTGGGGGTGACTGTGCTGGCAGGACTGAGATCCAAGGTTTTAATGCACACCTTGACATAAAGAGGCCGTAGTCATCACTTCAACCTGCAGATGGGAATAACAGCAA